TGGCACGCATTTCGTATTATTATTTGCATCTACGAGAAATGTAGCTTTTACTTTCCACTCTTTTCCCCAGTATAACACTCTGATTCTGTTTGGATATTTGGCATTTTCAGGTGCTGTTGTAGTCTCACTATATACTCCTATACCTTCAGAAAAGCCAGTCTTGAATGTTTCATAGCTACAGTAATTGGGAATGGTTGCAATTGCATTTGACATCTTGCTTTTACTTCAAAGCCTAGTTCTCATTGGTTTCCATAACACATTTGATTGACTGGCTAATTGTTGTGCTATTTCTATATGATTTAAGAAGTTAAGTGACATTAACATATGTAAGCTTAGAGTACTCTCAGTAGGTATGTCCATATAATTTGTGTTACACAAAAACTGTACAATACACTTTTAATTCATATAAATGAAGACAACCAAAACCCCTAAATATTAAGGTTTTTATATTCTATTTCCCAAATATACAAAACTGTCACAATATCTTGCTAATACTTAAGACTTAATTGATATTACTATTAGGAAATTGTTCTTATTTAAAAATCCATACTAAAAATTAGCAATGCTATTTGATTCAGAGAAAGGAATTTGAATAAAGGTCAATACTTTGTTTCATTTATCTCCTATTTAAACTAACATTAATTTTTTTTTTTTTTTAAAGAATTGTTGAAGATCTGTGTATACTTTATTTTATGTTTGTTATGGGCTGGAAATTAAACTATCTATCTTGTTTAAAAATTTTAAGCATCCAAGATCTCATAGAATGCATATAATTCTCAAGATTCCCTATCCTTTTCACAATCGTGTAGAAATATCAAATATGATAAGCAACTCAGTATTTTACCTGATCAATTCTGTAAGACAGTAGGAGCCTGGCAGTTTGGCAATGATGTTAATTGCCACTCCTACACAGTTTGTAACTACTACAGGTGAGAAAATCTGATCTATAAAAATGTATCTTGTTTTGTACTTATCTTATCTCTTTGCTTAAATGCAAAATACAACAGTCTTCAACTGAGATAATGAAAAGTATCCACAGTTAAGCCTTTAAAATTGTTGTCACATTTTTTAACGTAATTCTCTTAAATAATTAATATCTTCTTTACTCTTAGCCTTCTGGTGGCAACAAACTGTACCCCTGTGACAAGTGCAGACCACAATCAGTCAGTAGATATCAGTGCCATATGATTTTATCTCTGCACTGTAATGTACATAATTTGAAATGCTCCTTAAAAATACTGAAAAGTTATGACCAGATTTCAAGATGGACTTGTGCATTTGAATGATATTTAACTTTACAACAAGGATCTTTACTCATCTAAGTACAATGTAAATCCTAATCTCAGCAAAACCATTTATCACTTTTAGAGAAAATTTCAAGATAATTACTAATTACTAGCAGACAGTGCAGATTGATAATCAAACAACACAGATGTGCCTGAAAATCTTGGTCTGCAACTGGCTTTTTTTTGTCGGCAGCAGGCAAAAAGTTAAATGGAAAAATCAATTTCATTGCTTTTTTATAGAATAATCTCAAATGTAAAACATTCTGTGTAAGCATTGGAGGCATCAGAATTGGACAGAAGAATCCATGATATAAAGCACATACTGAGATTAATGATACCAGTACAGGAGTGTCTGTGAATTACAGAAGCACTGGGTGGGTTGCTATTTTGACACATTAAGACCAAGCAGTTTCATCAGTATATTTGTAACCCTTGCGCATGTTTGCTAAAAAATAATACTGAAACAGTGCCATGTTATAATACAGCAAACTTTAAAAGATATGTTTCCTAACATTTAAATTACATTTTGAGTCCAATTTGTAGCATCTTTTAAACCTTAATACCACCCCTTATTCCCCTTTTCCTTCAATTTAACCACTTAGTCCTTTAATGTAACATAACCACATAATACAAGACACATTCACTGTATTCTATGCTTACATTTGACAAGTTTTCAAGTCAACATCTCATCAGTCGAAACACTGTAATCATCCGAAAATCATATTATCTTTTCACAGTTTTTATTCATATCTGCATTCTTCCAAAATAAAAAATTCCAACACAGTGAACTTACAAATCACCCAAATCACCTTGTTTGCTCGATCATATATATGATGATTTTTTTTCTTCCATATAATGATTTATATCTTGTAAAAATAATAAATTCTCCCATTCAATGTGAAATTGGATCTCAATAGATATCTGACCTGGTGATTACAGGGTCATTTTTTCCATACTTATTATGTATATTTATGAAAATCATTGTAATAAGTCTACAAACCAAACATTAAACACTTTTATTCCATATTATTAATGTATGACACATTATTGGTTATATTGAAAATATACACAAAAACGGACTTAAATGTCGCTCATTATTAAATCTCCAACTAAAGAAAAGCGGCAAGAAATTTTTGTTCAATATCTTGAACGATTTATGTGACAAAAGTTAAAAGGTTTTTTTTTTCTTTTATAAAAGGAAAATAAGTATCTATCAACCATTATAATAATATGGAACCGATGCCTTTCAAAATAGCCTTTAAACTTTTTTTAATTTATGGAACTTGGTATACTAAAGGTGTATAATGAGCAAGTGGTGCGAATTGAATATTCTCTCAATACTTAAAACAAACAAAGAAGTCTTTTACAAAAGTCATGTGACACACCACTTTGAATATAAAATTTGTATAAGGAATGAATCAACTAAAATCAATGAAAATTTGTTTCAAATCGAAGCTTTTTTTCTTCTCCAAAGTCAATGTTCTGAAGGAATTTCATTTCAAACAAAATCAATTTATCAGCAAATGATATAATGCATTTTAAGTCTCCAAGGATAACACACTTTATGAATATTGAAATAGCAGAATATACATTTATAACAGTGTTTGTATAAAATGATGCACTTTAAACTAGTATGCCTTATTCTCATCGATTCGTGCCTTCTCATTGATTCGTGACCTAAATAATTGTCTGGTATAAATTCTTCTGCAAGAACATACACCATCCGAAAACTACACAAGTTTTATAAGACACTCAATTTGACAATTCTATCCAATCAAAATGCGTAAATGAACAGGTGTAAATGACCTCACCCTACAATCAGCTGGTGACCTGATTACTTTAAAATATTCGATATTGATGTTTTAATTTATCAAACAGACTTACACTTAAGCCAAAAAAATATTCATTATGCTGTAAGAATTTACTTAAGACTTTGAAACATATATTGATCAGATCGGGCTGAAAATAACCATGCAAACATTTAGTGGTGTGAGCACCTATATTTTGATGACGTCACAGGGTGAATCTGATTTCACGAATCGATGAGTAAGCGTCCAGCAGAGCAAGACAATCATGGTTGACATGTTCAGTTGCTCTAATCTTTGAGCAGTTGTTTTTAGAAGTAATTTAAAGTTTTTGAACTTTTAGATATTAATGAATTTATTTAACAAATGCACTAATTGAACTGTATGTATGTCTGATATTTGTTGTGCAAGTGCAATTTTTCCAAATAAGAGTCACGAATCGACAAGAGAAAAGCATATATATTATTCAAATATTTTCATTTGCCATAAAGACAGATTTTTTTTCTCAAACAAATCACGGACAATACAGAGGAAACTGTAATCTCAACACACCATTATCCATATTAATCCCCCGTCCAATTTATTTTCATTAAATGAAAAGAAAATCTTATAATATCTTCTTGTTATATAGCAGTACTTTGGTAACATTACCCAATTAAAACTCAATTAAAAGTAAGTGACCACTAAACTGCTGATAAACAATTAACAGGATGTTTCCTTCACACATATCTGCTTATACTGGAAAAAATACATATTCAGGAAACTTTCATAATAATCTACATAGATTTCAGGAAATTGACTGGAAGGGGTCTGAATTCAATAGTTTTCACAGTATTTAAATTTTCATTTACCAGGGCCTTTTAAAAATATGCATCAACATATTATGTCCCTTATATTATCCTAAGGACTGAAGAACATGTTAGCAAAGTTTAAAGAAAATCCTTTGAAGGTACTATAGCACTGGTGGTATTATTTATACACTAAGTAGCTACTATTATATACCACACAACTCTGTCTTTACCAAATCATACATTAAGCACTGAGTGCTCCCCCTTGCCACATGCATTTCCAATAATTGTCTGTTCTGCAATATTCAAATTAATGTAACAACTGCTCAAAAATTGCATACAATATTTCTTCATACAATTTATCAAGGCTCGAGTATAGTGCAAAAGTATAACTTGATGAAGCTAAAGTAGCTGAATGATCGTAGACCTCATCATATTTGAGCCGCTTCACAACAATACCAACATATGGGTTTGCACAGTCTGATCAGGATCCATGCTGTTTGCAGTAGAGAAACTGATAGCAAACAGCATGGATCCTGATCAGACTGCCCGAATGTGCAGGCTGGTCTGGATCCATGCTGGTAGCAAACGCACTATGTTTGTTTTGTCATGACACGGCACATTTAAAGCTTTACCCAAAATCATCAGAGTGACAGCATTCTACAAGCTTAATAGCTGAAAATGACCATGATTCATTTCTATGAAATACAATGTTGGTATGTATGATACAATTATCATTCTATGAAATACAATTTCTGAACCTACAATACACTAACCATTTCTATAAAATACAATTTCCGTACTTAAGATACAGTAAACATTTCTATGAAATACAATTTCAGTACTTACAATACACAGGTATCATTTCTATGAAATACACTTTCGGTACTTACGTTACATTTATCTACGAAATACAATCTCAGAACTTATGATACATTTATTATTCATATGAAAAGCTACAATACATTTATCTATGAAACACAATCTATTAACTTCTGATACACTTATCATTCCTATAATAATACAATTTCAGTACTTATGATACAAAGTCCTCAATGAATTACAATCACAGAACTTAAGACACCGTTATTAATCATATGAAATACAACTAAGGTACTTACGATACAGTCATTATATGCTGGAAGATCACAGATGTTGTTGCCAGTGTTATGATTGGCGTCGGTAATAGCTGCTCCGTTCCCGGTGAAGTTGACCTTCTTTGTCGGAATTGGTGCGGGATATGTGTCCTTGGTGGCATTGTGCGCAAGGAATCCACCATCACTGAAAATACATGAAAATAAACATAGATATTTAAAAGTTTTAAAATACCTTTGAAGTCATATAAAAAGTTGAAAAGTTTTATGTCCGAATAAAATGAAGGGAGTTGGCCACATTTAATTTAGGTGGTTGGGCCTGGGCAGTGGTTGGATTCCACAAAAGGTCACATCATTGTAGATTTTATATTCATTTCATTGAAATGCAACAATGTATTGACAAGTCAATAATTCCTAACGAGCCTTGTATTTTGTATAGATAATTCATCACTAGATCATGGCAACCAAAACCTTCCCAGTGTACAGCCTATTTCTGATATGGACTAGTCCTGTTTCCTATTGTTGGAACTGTGATAATAGGTTAACACATATCCTGCTGGAACCCAATAAGATTTAAGCCTTTGACACCAATATAGATCCAGGCCAGCCTTCACATCCATGCATTCTGACCAGGCTCTATACTGGCGGCTGATTTACCTTACATTTACATCTTGATATCCCCTAAATTGATAATGGACAGTTCCGAAAATGGAAGCTAGATGAGTTCATTTCAGAAATTCAGGTAAAAGCGTTAAAGTGATTGGACTGGTTAACTACAAATTTCCAGCTCGATCTTTACCGATGGCATCGACAAGTTATTATTACTCATAAGTACCTCTGCGCCACAAACTCATTAAGCGTGCAGTAATATCATGTCTCTGATATAGCAATGTTTGATTACCCAAATGGACATCCCATCATTATATAATGATGTATTTATACAATTATGATAAATTATCAATTGATTCTCCAGATACAAATTCAGACAAGAAGATATTTTAAAATACGCCAGAGACGAATTCTTGTGCACATCATGCTTTGCAGATAAACTTGAATAATTACAGGAAGTTTCAAAACCAATTACACATTTTACAACATAAAGATTATTTAGATAGGGATATCTATAACAAAACTTGTAAGAATACGGAGAAATATATGATTTTAAGAAAATGTAAAATATCATTTGAATTTCGTACAATTGTAATGTATCTAAACCTATTGCATTTCATGTTTCATACTTTTGTCAGTAAGATTATATCGGTATATGTATTGGGGTAAAATAATTCTTTAAAATTAAGGAAATATTATGGCATAAATATTATTGTATCCACAGATGCATTTTCTTTGGGTTTTTTTAAATTTATAGTTTACTTCTATATATCTCTATGATTGCTATTAAATTCTAGACATCTACGTCAAAATCAAAATGTATTTAATTTTCAGAATTTTTTATGCTCATCAGAAAGTCATAATTGAGTCATTTGTGCCTTTCCTTTTATCAAAATGTATTCCATTTCAAAAAAATTGTTCAACTTTTCCTTTTTAATAAAAAAAATCTGCTTGCTATTTTATTTTTATATTCCAGTCAGATGCAAAACAGAGGGCACAATGAGGTAACCAGATGACAAAAGCAGACAACACTGCCAAAGCCTCCAGTGTTAATCAGTTTGAAAGAGAAATATCTAAGAGATTATCAGTTATGTTTTCAGAAACATTCTGCTATGGCAATCTGATTGTCTTAGACAGCCCTTGAAATAAAACTTTCTTCTTTTCATAATAAGCATTTACCTTCTTAAATTCATGCAATGTCCATGTCTTAATTGCTTTGAAATTTTAACTGCCCATTGATAATTATGCTATCCCTGAATTAAAACCAAATTTATGAACGAAAGCATTCACATGACCAAGCACTAGCAGAACTATGCTATCTCCCTTAATTGAGCTCAAGGGTTAGGCCATATTATAAACGCCTGCCTTTGGGAAAGTTGGCATAACTGTTCAGTATTCAGAGATTAAAATACCTGTCTTTTAGTAAAGAGATCAATAAAAAAATTTGCCACATCTTCTTTTAGAAAACTTCTAATTACATCATGCAATGTTTTAATGGCATTTTCTGCAGAAGTTGACAATATTAAAGCAGCATTCAGAGCCATGTTTATTGTAAAGTTTATGACACTTCCCAGCTATGATTGCCTGCGCTAACAGGCCCATTTTCTCATAAAACTTTCAGGAAAATGAGCAAAGAGTGAAGGACACTACATGTAAAGTTACATTACATCTTCTTTAGGTAAATTTCTAAAGACCTCAAATTAAACCAATCAGTTCATTCAAAATGTTATAGTATATCTTTTTGAAAAATAAATGTACATAATAAATTATGGATCACTGAAAGTTATATGTTCAAGATGCATTATATTGCCTTAAATATTTCTGTTACATCAAACATGATCTGAACTATATAGTCATTTACATCAAACATCTAACAAAAAATACTTAATTGAACTTGTGTAACAAACACATTTTGCTCTAAATGTGAGCCTGAGTATCAATTACAATAAGGAAACAAGCTCTTTTAAACAATGGACTTTCATTTAAATTGAAATTAAATATTTCATACCAGAGCTCTTATATATTTCCTTTAAAACAATATGTATAAATATGAGCACTTATAAAATATCTGTAATCAAGCTATTAACCATAACTCAATTTCACTCCCACATATTCTAATTCAATGTGACCTTGACATTTGAGGTAGTGTTCTTAAAACATATTTAATTGATCAGAACTCCTTCCTGATGAAAGCTAAATAGAGCCATATAAAATTTACTATTAAGACTACATGTACTTTCAGGAACGTATCTGAACACTGCGTTAGAACATTATGATATTGTAACAATTAATTTATGAAAAACATGGACATGATGGAGAGGTGACCAAATATAGCTGCATTACCCACAATGCCTCAGGGTAGAGGCCAGTCATCTCAAGCAGACATCTTCGAAATCAATTAAACTAATTTCATCTTCATATCAGACTGGTGTAAAAAGTTGTTTGTTTGTTTGTTTGTTTCATTTTACGCCTTTTTCAACAGTATTTCAGTCATATAGGCGGGTAGTTTCCTAACCATCGTTCCTGGAGAGTTACACCAGTACTAGACTACCTTCCTCCGCGCTAAACTACCAAAGCATCTCCCGGGGATCGAACCCACGCCAGAGAGGTAACTGGATTAGAAGTCATCGACTCTAACCCCTCGACCACGGAGGCGGTTGTGTAAAAAGTTAAAGGTCGGCCAAACCCTTTTTTGAAAAATAAATGTGTAATAATGCAAAACCAGTCTTTTTTGCACTCATTTTCAACATTCACATAAAACAGTTTGGCTGTCAGTCCAGTGCACAGCATCTTTTATTTCTAGACATGTCCACTCTTAATCTCTGTATTTTACTTGACTGCTGTCAAGAAATTTTCCCTCTTTCAAAAAAGAAGCACTCCTGGAGAAAATAAATCCTCTCCTGTAGAGAAAGGAAAGTTTGGAGAGAAAAAAACACCAAATGTTCCACACAAAAATCTGCCACATCCTTAATTTGTCTGTGAGCTGCTCTTCTTAAAACAGTGTTACAATAAGACGCCAATGAACTTCCTGTCACAAACTATTTTCTCCACCATCAACTATGTTAAACAAAATTCATTCATAATTACCTTAGAGATATTTTTGTGCAGAAAGAAAATCTGCCATGTCTGTGCGCTAAAAGCGCGATCAATATATATATCATGATTTGCAATGAAAACTGTAAAATTGTTATCTTAAAGTTTTGAGTTTTTTTGTTCAGCCAGTACGACAAGCCTTTGCCATTAGTTCGCCATGAATATCTGTAGTTTGAAAAGGGTGATTACCCTTGTTAAATAAATAACAAAGCTAAAAATATCAAATATGACAGACCACCAAACAAAGTGGGGGGTTTTTTTTGGTTTTTTGTTTTGTTTTTTTCTCCTGATTTTGTATTAATAATCACACCAAAACATTTCATGTGGCAACTTTCCAACTTAATTGACAGAAATATCCCACTAAATCATGCCATTCTAAATTTTTTTAAATGGACATGTACATCTTTCAATTTTGACAAAACCGTTGTATCAATTATAAGGAAAATTTCGAAATGTTAGACTGAATTGCAAACAAGAGGGCCATGATGGCCCTGAGGTCGCTCACCTGTATTATAGGCCCATTTGGGTTTTTTAAAAGAAGAATTTTTATGTTTTTACTTTACACATATAGTTAAAAAGAATGACACCCCTTGGGCGGGGCCAGTTTTGACCCCAGCGCTTTTATTTGAACAAACTTTGTAGACACTCACTAGAAGATAATTCATGCTTAATATCTAAACTCTAGCTAATTTGGTTTTTTCAAAGAAGATTTTTTTAAGTTTTTGCTATACATATATAAGGAAAATCAATGACCCCCGGGCGGGGCCAATTTAGACCCGAGGGCTTTTATTTTAACAAACTTGGTAGACACACATTAGAACATAATGATTGTTTCATGCTAAATATCTTAGCTCTAGCTCTTTAAGTTCTTTAATAGAAGATTGTTTAAGTTTTTACTATATGCATATAGGGAAAATCAATGACCCCCGGGACGGGGCCAATTTTGACCCCAGGGCTTTTATTTGAACAAACTTGGTAAACACTTATTAGAACATGTTTCATGCTATATATCTTAGCTCTAGCTCTTTGGGTTTTTTAAAAGAAGATTTTTTAAGTTTTTACTATATGCATATAGGGAAAATCAATGACCCCCTGGGGCGGGGCCAATTTTGACCCCAGGGCTTTTATTTGAACAAACTTGATAGACACTCAATAGAAGATGTTTCATGCCAAGTATCTAAGCTCTAGCTCTTTGGGTTTTTTAAAAGAAGATTTTTTAAATTTTTACTATATGCATAATGGGAAAATCAATGACCCCCCGGGGCAGGGCCAATTTTGACCCTAGGGCTTTTATTTGAACAAACTTGATAGACACTCAATAGAAGATGTTTCATGCCAAATATCTAAGCTCTAGCTCTTTGGATTTTTTAAAAGAAGATATTTAAAGTTTTTTCTTTCGGTTGCCATGGCAATCAGAGTTCTGCATGGAATTAAATTCTTTGAACATTTTTCAAAGGTGACCACCAAAAGAACATTCCTGTGAAG